TCAGACATCTCAGGTATTCATATTTTGTCTTGGTGTGCTTTCCTGGTTAACAGGATAATACATTTTTTATCATCTAATATCTGAAAATCAGCATGGATTTGAAAGAAATAAGTCTATTATTACGGTATTGTTAAATATTCTTGATATTATATATAAAAAATTAGATGCAAATGATAAAATTCTAGCTTTATTTGTGGACTTGTCAAAAGCGTTTGATTGTGTCAATCATTCATTGCTTCTGAATAAAATCGAACGATATGGCATTAGAGGACTGTGTCACGACTTATTGAGGGACTTTTTAACAAACAGAGAACAATTTGTTCAATTTATTGGTGTAAACTCGAAACAGCTATCTGTAACATTTGGTGTTCCACAAGAATGTGTACTAGGTCCTCTACTATGTTTGTTATATTGCAATCACTTGGAAAGTTATTTATCAACCTCTTATACTGCATTTGCGGATGACATAACAATGTTAGCTTGCCATAAACAACAAACAGATATGACAACATTGACAAATGTAAATCTTAGAAATATACAAGCATATTTTCAAATGAATCGTCTTGTGATGAATCAAGAAAAAACTTATATATTACAATTCCACCCTTTACCTTCTAATTATACAAGTAGTCCTTTGGTATCATTGAATAGGAAATCTATCGAACAGGTGACTTGTTTTAAGCTTTTAGGTTTACATATAGACATACAATTGTCATGGAAAAATCATGTTGATTATGTATGTTAAAAATGTGCGGGTTTATGCTATGCTCTAAGGAGGTTATACTACATGGCTGATCAAGATGCTACTAGAGTATTTTATCACTCAAATTTCGGATGAATAATTCGCTATGTAATAATGTTTTGGGGCAACTCAACAGCTGCCAACAGAATATTTATACTATAAAAACGCGCCTTAAGAAATATGTTCGGATTAAGGTATTTTGAATCGTGCAGATCTACTTTTGTAACAAGAAAAGTATTAACGCTGCCTTGTTTGTACGTGATTGAAATTTTAAAATTTGTCAAACAAAACATTTCCAAATTTAATCTTGAAAATAAATTTCATGATTATCCTACAAGATATGGAACAAATTTACAATACGACTTGCATAGAAGAGAACTTTATAAGTCAAATCCATATTATATGGGTGCATTATTATATTACCAGCATCTATAAAAAACCAAAATTTTACTAGATTTGTATTTTTAATAAAGAATATATTGCACCAAAATGTTTTCTATTCTGTGAGAAGCTACTTGGCATATGATTTTAAATAGTTTACTGGTTCTTTTCTTTTATTGTTAATAATTATTGTAATATTCGTTTTTCATGATATTTTAATACTTTTGTATATGTTTCAATTGTATTATGTTTCTATTAGCCTTTACTAGTTTGTATGTTTTGACGTGTCCTATATCCGATATTGTGATCTAGTGGACTAATAAATATCTATCTATCTATCTAACAATTAAAGCTGGATTAATAATAAACTAGTGTTTGTAGCTCGCCATATTTTTCCCATGGGATTAAATCGTTAAAGCTCTGGAAATAGCATTTGGTTTAAAATATGCCAGTAGTAAAGTGACCCAAGATTTCAAGTTTTCTTGTAATCTTGGATATCGAAAAGGTTTTATCAGCAGAACATTGTATTGAGTATAAAAAAAAATCGAAACGTTTACGCTTAACTGTGAGAACTATAAAACTGTATTACAAAGACAGAAATACCAATTTTTTCGGTAAATTTTGTAAAAACAATCATTTTGTAATAAATTTTGACCGAATATTACACTTGTATTTAATTTAAGCGGCTAATTATCCGATAATTTCCATTAACCGCGCCGATTCCTGCAGACAAACTAATCGATTAATGTAAACTTCACAGTTAAATGAGTTAATAAACTTTATCGCCGTAAAAAATAACCCGTTTACTTAACCAAACCCACACAAACGTATCGATCGCGTTCGCACCTAACTGTTACTTGATTTGATTTTGTCAAATCTCGACTTCGCGAAAGAGCCGTCCAAATTTGACAATTCGTGGGCATCATTCCATATATACGTTGTTAATTTGTAGTGGCGTTATAATTGTTCGGGGTCAACGGACCCATAATATCTTCCTTTTATATGTTTTATTTACGCACGTTTGTGCCAGTATCGTACCTATAATTCAACGAATAACACTCGAGGCATTTTTAGCGTGCAAGATTAGAATTTTTAATTGTGCGTCTGTACGCTGCAGGACAAAAGTTAGGAATGGCGTATTCGAATTATGCTTAACAAAGTTTTGAAGCTGTTGTCATTTACAGGGGCAATGTTAAGAAGAAATGACACAAACTCTATAAGAGGAACTTAGTAATGAATTAACAATTAGAGAAGTGACAATAGTAAAGTAAGAAGTAAGAGTGTGAGTCTTCTTTGAGACAGTCAGAGACAGGTTCTTTGACATGATTAAATGTCAATAGCGAAGGTGGAAGGGTCTTCAGTAAAAAAGACCCGAATGTGATTTGAAAAAATAAAGCTAAGAAGAAATGTTAGCCATCAATTGGAATGATATTTGATAAGAATATTTATGCACTGCCATATTTATTAGAATAAAGTTTTCCAATAGGTATGCCAGAACTTTTAAAATGTAATGGTGGCTACATGGTTCGAAATGTCAATGTCAACCGTTGACAACTGTGTATAGTATATTGTAGCAAGTATCATGGAAAGGTACACAAATCAACAACAGCGCGTAAGATTCTTATAAATTTACCATTAAAATTTATAGTCGACCAACCGAACAGTCTTTCTATAGTTTAGTTGAAAAATTTCAATAAACGGACTCCGTTGCGGATAAATCAACATCTGTACCTCGTCAATCACAGGAGAACATCGTTGCTGTAAGCCAGAGTGTAAGAGATAATTTGAACCTTTCTATTCCCCATTATTGGTCTATCTCAGATGACATTAGTCAAGTTCGGTATTGACATCTAGATGCTCTAAATATATCTCTTTGTATTTTCATCTTTTACAATTAGAAAAGAACATTTGGAGCGTCTAGATGTTAATATCGAACTTGCCTTATGTGGTGAATTGGTGAATTTTGCATTGTGTCCTTCTAAAGCAGAGGTACACAAACTTTTTGTCTCGTAAACTACGTGCCATTTTTTTCTATTTTGTGTAGACCCTCCGCTCCGCCTTTCTAATATTGTTACAAATTTATCAACTTCAATGTGTTTTGACAGCTTACAGAGCTAACTGTAGAGTAAAAAAGTTAAAAAAACACACATTTTATACATTTATTAATTAAAACGACACAAAATTAAAGTCTAGTAAAATTATTTATTTTTGTTTACGACGAATGTAAACAAAATGCTGCAACTGCAGAAATAATGAAAATTTTTTATCTCTACCGAAAACAGGGAATTAATTGTTAGTTCTGTATATGTTTTTGCAACTTTCGAATTAATACATATCTAACACACACAAAAAAGTAAATATGTACTTTTAATGGGAAAGATGAGCTTCAATAGCAAGTTTTCAATATTTGACTTCAATTTAGTTAAGTATAATCTTAAATATCTTTGGTGATTCCTAATCTATTTCTTTTTTTTTTTTGTAAGAAGATTGGCAACCGCGCTAAAACTACTTTCCAAGGGGTATGAAGATGGAAAAGATATCGAAAACGTTCTTGCGACAGTCCATATTAATAATTATTAAAAAGAAATTACTTCATACTTATCTAATTTATATGTCTATTACATGAAAGTATTATTAAGTACATCGGTACTATTTGTGTTATGTAAATTATTCCATTTATGGAGAGCTAAAATTTCAGTCACGATCTGCTTAAATGAGATACATTCTGGTGCACCTCCAATTTCTGTTTTCGCTGATATGGGGTCGATAGACCACTTTGGGAATCACTGATCTAAAGGCTTATAGATTCCAAATTACTCAAGAACTTTAGCCAGTTGATCATCATCTGAGTCGAACTTTCTCATACTGGGCTCTAGATCAGTTGGATCTCGAACGGTATTTTGGAGAAAAATTATTGACTAAATGAATTCGTAAATAAACACAAAATAAAGTAAAGGTAGAATTTGGGCTGATGAAAATCGTCGAGCGATTGGAGGTGCCTTTTTATTCTCATAACGTCATCCTTTGGTTGGGTTTTTAGGCTCAAGGAATGATTGAATTTATTCTTTTGAAGACGATAATCGGAAATTGTGTTACTGTTAATGGAGAGCGTTATAGGGATATGCTAATAGAATAACTTTGGCCTGTTGTCACAGACAATGCTTTTTTCAATAATATGGTGTAACAATTGATTTTGAGAAATGGTAATGTCAACTGGCCACCAAGATAATGTGATCTCACCCCCTTGAACTTTTCCTATGAGATTCTACGAAATCTGTGATCTACAGAAGTAAGCCACAGACAATTCCGGACCTTAAACGCACCATTAAAAAAATATACTACGTAAAATATGTGAGCACGTTGTAGAAAATTGAATTTACAGAATGAAATAATTCTGACAAACGATTTTATAAATATGTATAATGTCGAAATAAAAATCACGAGATTATCATTTGCAGTTATCAGTGACTCTCTTTAAAATTCCGACAGACTTACTGGAAAACCCTTTATTTCCAAATTCAATTCTGTTACCTCGCAACAGGTGCTTTTTTAATCACCAGTGGTTTTAGCAGTGACAAAAGTTCAGTAGACACAAGTTGTATCAGTATAATAATGACATGTTTGATTAAGAAAATTACGTTTAACTGCTTACAATGTAATGAGTGAAATAACCTAAATTACTTTTAATTTTAAAAAACCTTTTGTCAATAATAATGAATGGAATACATAACGGAAACTATATGCAGTTATTAATTAAGTAATAATATACTAGACGTAAACATTGAAAAGACATCTGAAACTAAAACGACTGTAGAGATCGCTTGTTATACGAACGCACCATCAATTACACTAAATATAAATTTCTAGTAACCCTTACCTGAGCAGTTCAAAGCTGATGCAGAGATGATTCCTAAAATAAAAGTAGTCCAACATGTGGATGACGTTGTGGTTGCAGTCCTTGTCCTTTTTCCGGAGGTGATCCAAAATACGAACTTCGACCAACGCCTGGTGGTGGAACCTCTTCTTGTTCCTTATAATTTTAATGGCGACGTGCTTGTTGGTCATGTGGTCAAGGGCTCTGATAACCTGCCCGAAACTACCCTTGCCTATCACCTCAAGGATCTCGTAGCGATAGCATATATGGTCGTGCAAAACCTGAAACGAAAAAATCTTTTTAATGGATAAACTTCTGTGTAATTCTGTTTTGGGTAAATCCGTTTAAGGAAGTTTAACCTCCCTTAGTAATACAAAGCAAAAAAAGCTGCAGTATTCGAAAGAGCAAATATTGAAGAATTTTTTACTGGGGCTTCCGATAAAGAATATTTAATGATTAAGGTAATATCTCTTTACTTTTTACATGTTGTTAGGTATATAGTGAACTTTGAATTATTTTGGGTTGCACTAAAAATGGGGGTTTCTGGTGCCTGTCGATGCTGCGAATTGACAAATTTGAAGTGACGTGCAGGACGTTGGTAGTTACCTACTTGTTTCAATACCTAACATCAAGGCGGGCATTTCAAGAAAATTTACAATTATAGAGGAAGGATTTTGCGTGAATACTGTTGAAATATGCAGAAAATATATTTCTCTGCGCCCAATTCGCCTAACACAAGACAGATTCTTTTTAAGATGTTGGAATCAACACATTGGCGAAGGTACCTTAAATAGTTGCTTCATTCTGAATGTCGCAAATCCAGAAGCATGTACTGGCCATTGTATGAGACGCACTTCAACAACTTTATTAGCCAATAAAGGTGCTGATCTTACAACCGTCAAACGGTATGGTGGATGGAAGAGCTCCTCTGTAGCAGAAAGTTGTGTTGAGGAGTCTGTATCTAAGAAACTTGATATTGCAAGGAAAATTCGAGGAAAATATAGCTGTTCCTTACAAGAAGAGACATCCGTAACTTATGCAAATTCTTCACAAACTTTGGCAGATGTTATGCGTTCCGAAAATGATGGCAACAATGCTGCAACGGTTGTTATTAACGGAAATGAAGTTAAATGTGATAAAACAAAAAACGAAATGTCTATTACTGTAAATGTAAATGTTTAAATGATTATAAGGTGATTGTGGATAAATACAATTATTAGATTTCTAATTAGTAAAATGGTAATGAGAATAAGAACTAACCGTTCAAAGACAGGGTAGACTTAAGGAAAATACCGTTTTGTCTCGAAAAACTCATGCCTATTTAACATCATTGGAACGTCAATCATTTAGGCAATTCATATTCAAATACGTCACTAAATTTATTGTAGTAGATGTGATCGATAATCTCGGTTTGCAAACGCGTTTTTCTACTTTATGTTTAATAAAGATCTAGTATAATACAAAATTTTGTTAATACATTATTGTGTATGACGACGACGGTGAAACACAAAGGAATATTTTCAAGGACGATAATATTTTGTCTTAAAAAACTTATCCGAGGTAATTGTAGTCTAACATTTTAATTAATTTTCGGCGTGAGAGTATTAATATAATGACAGCATTGTTATTGTAGCCGCTACAGTATTACCATAAATAATATTAAAACATGGCTTCCTGTTTTGCAGAAATAAACATGAACCCGTGACATTGAAATTTAATTAAATTAATTGTCACTAAAAATAAAAAACCATGCTTGAGGTTTAGTTTCAGCTTTGACTGCAGAAACATTGTTTTGAAAGCTCAATCCTTATATCTTCATTTTGGGTTTAAAACTGTTGCATTTACCTTTTATGGTGATTGTTATCAACTGCAATGAAGAATATGCTCTTCTTTTACTAACAAGTACCAATGTTGTTTGTGATGGATAGTTTCTCTTCGGGATTCTCTAACTTTCTGGCAACATTTTAATAAATAGTTGCAAGACAACCGGCTACACGAATCAACGGCATGCTCCAAGTAATCCCATGGGAAACCAGGTTGCAGATCGTGACCAAAGAGAAATTAATGAATCCGACAAAAGCAAAAATCCAGCCGGATCCGGGAAAGCAGAAAACAACAACTGAGTGGGTGATTAATTATTTTGGAGTTTTAATTGCGTTGCGTCGGAAATTTTCTCCACCAGAATAGAAAGCGATGGATCATAAATAATCGGAAAATGACGGGATTGTCCGAGGTTGATGAAGGAATTAATTGAGTTTTGAATTAGGTAAACAACAATTTAAATGGTATTTTAGTAATAAATTACAAGGGAAGCCGGTGAAGCTACCTCCCTCGTGCGTCAATGCAATTGAAACTGACACTTTTTATAACCTTTGCCTCCCATACACATCTAATTATTATCCCATTTATATCCATTTGGAGGCACAACACATGGATATACCTCATTACTATAGCATTTATACAGTCGGCGATTTAATACGGCGACGACTGCAACATGAAGAGTCTCTTTGAAAATTTAAATGAATCGCTCTGATACCCCATGAACTGGGCGGTTTTATTGTCTTGCGTCGTCCTGCTGCTCTCGCAGACATGAAATGTACGACGAGAGATTCATTTAATTGGAACGAAAATTTCAGCTGCATTAATAATTTAGGTAGAAACTGATGATGTAGCGGGAGACGTGAAAATGCAAAGATAACGTGATTAAATATTGCTGAGGCGCGAGACAGCTACTCTACAAGTTCAAATTGGAAATTCAAAGTGTTTTTCGCGATTATATTATTTAGTGTTGAGCCAAATCACGTCAAGTGGACCCCCATTTTCCACTTGATCATGGAATTTGAGTTCATATATTTTAATCAAAAGTAGTCATTACCAACGATCATACCCTACAACCCTTTTTCAAAATTTTTATATTAACAATAATTTTTTTTTCTAATAAACATTTTCGGGACTCAAAATAATAAAAATAATTGTGTAAAAACCATTAAAGATATCTTAATGAAATTTTCAGGACTTATTGTGTAATATTTATATTTTAATAAAAAATAAAGTTAACTTATTATCATATATTTAAGTAACTTTCAAATAAACAAATGAAAATTTTAATCATTTCTCAATCAGATAATAAATTAAGGTATTTTTAGTTGCCTGCATCCGCTATACAGAAAATTTGAGTGCCCAGTATTAGTTTAAACAATAT